TGGCAGTCGGAGATAGATGACAAATATTGAAGGTTGCAGAACTTCTGGTAGTAATAGTAGTAGTCCATCTTCGAGTATTGGCAATCCCATAAATAAGTAATAATTTTAGTGGAATTAAAAAAAAATCTATTTAAATAATGAATGATATCACAAAAACATTCTCTAAATAAAATTATTTGTTGTTAATTTCTATAGAACTAAATGAAAAAAATATTCAAGTGTTGTTGAAATTGTCATAGAAATACTCTATAAATTAAATTAATATAATAACAAATCGAAACATTTAACCAATTGAACGATTTTTGATTGTACTAGGTAGGTATTAACTATTGGACATTAGCAGTGTCTCATAGTCAGGTCAATCATATAAAATATGTTTATATTTATTGGAACTAAGTTAATATTAATAATATTTAGATATATTTGGATCAAAAAGAGTAAAACAAGAAAAAATACTAAAGAAAACTGCATACATATAACTAAACAGCATAATTATATAATTATTTTTATACCTTCTCATGTATTACTAGGAATTGCAAACAGGATGACGATCCACCTACGTGAGTGAGTACTACGTTATATCCATTAACGTATACTCGTAATGGTGGATTTAATGAGAACTAGTTACAATTGTCTATAGACATTTATCTTAGATAAATAATAATAACTTTTTCGTAAACGCCGTACGACGTATGTATGTTATATATTTATTTATATAGTATATACTGTTATAAGTACTTAGATGTATGTATGGTATCATCATTATCATATTAATCTTAAACTGTCCACTGCTGAACATAAGCCTCCCCCTTAGGGGGCTTTGTCAGTAGTTGCCATGTTTGGCAGGTGAATTGGCAACCGCAGTTAGGCTTTAGAGATGTTTTTAGAGAGACGCTGCTGCCCATGCCAGGACCACACGGACACATGTAAGGTATATATACATATCATTATTTACATAAATTTACATGAACTTTTTTTATTAGGTAGGTAGGTACCTACATTTTTACGCCAAATATCTGTTGTCTTTTTCTTTTCTCTCTACCTAAAGGTTGCCTATAAAAATGTACATAATTTTTATATCCTAAATTTTACTATCCTAAATATAGAATACACTGCAATATCATCGATGAAGTTCTAACTCTACATGAGTCTATGTTAAAATTTGGTATTTTACAGAAAAGAAAAAAAAAACAATTAAATATTTATTTCTGTTTGTGTTGTATACTGGTCGTTTCCCGCAGCGTTGCCCGCTCCTATGTAGTTCCCTTATATCATTCCCATCGGAACTCTTCATGAATCCGATCGTATATTGTATTATATGTACACTTAAATGATAATTACGTACCTAATACCTTCATAAAGTTTCAGCCAATTCAACGGATCGGTTATTTTATAGCATTTTATATGTTTCTTTAAATCGATATAACTTTTTTTATTTATGAACCGATTGAAATAAAATAAACACTAATTGCTAAGTGAAGCAAACTGCAATGCATTAGTGAAAACTATATTCATATCGCTATATAACTATATTCATTAAGCTGTTTCTAAGGTTAGCGTGAACAAACATATTTACAAACAAACAAAAATTCTAAAAATCATTATTTTGGGTTCTAATGCATTCTTAAGGCCCCCCTATAATAGTTTTTCTTACGTATCTTCTATGTACAGATAGCGACCAATTACGAGTTTATTATATGTATTGATTGATTGATTGATTGATACATTTGAAGCAATATATTCAAATGTACTTAGGACATTTTTTTTAAAAAACGAGCATCCTGATTTAGTTTAGAAGATTCGCGCTTCTATTAATCATCGAATGAACTATTAACAAAAGAAAACCGCAAAAAATATACGCGAATTAAAATTATAATAAAAAAAATATACAATCTTCTTTCTCCTATTCTATTTCTATTGTCTGTTACTACACTCCGAGAACTAAGATGTTAGTGGTTGCACAGACTATGAGATATAACTGAATTAGATACCTGTGTATTACCTACTGTGCCTACTAATTATTATTATTCTTTATTAAAATTTTTATAATTTCTCAGTCAGAAGACTTAACACCACACTGATTTTTTATAGTAGAAATGGTTACTACATATAATATGTAAGTACCCGAGTTAGAAAAAACTTCAAAACTCTCTCATGTGTATTATACATTCTTTTAATACAATTCTAAAGTATCTACCTCTTAATTTTTCATCTGCAATGTAAGAAAACAGACATAAAACTGCATAATGCAGCTGATACTCTAGATGGCAGTAGTGTTACACAGTAAAAATAAGTGTAAGTTAACTTACTAGGTAGGTAATTTTCTATCTCCTAAATTTATGTTTTTCTACAAGTATCTCTATAAATAAATTGTTTTTATTAAATGTGGACTTATAAATTTTTCGTACTTAATTAAAACTTACTGTACTTACATACAGAACAGAAACGTTGTGCTACGGATAACCTTTCTCCGCTAGATGTCACTGCGCAGTACGACTTATGAACGTTCTCAAAGGACAAAGTTTTATAAACATAATTTCAATTTATCTGTGAATATCATACATCCTATTTTTTTTCTTTAGTAGGTAGTCTAATTTTACATCTCGATTACATGGTTTCGTTCATGTTGATAGGAACTTCTACGTAATATTTTACCAGAACGAGACTTTGTACAAAAGTCGATTGCTTGGGTACCTCTGTCCCATTCGTGTTTCTATCGTGAAGTAGTTGTGTTTGCATGGCTGTGTTTCGGTTTCGGAAAGGTGGGATATGGCGTGAATTTACAGGGTACAAAGGAATAACATCTGAGTCCTCAGGAATAGCAACGCATGGGGGTATCATGGGCGAAACAGTATACTCTGTTATATCCATAGTACTGCTTATGTCTATAGGTGACGGTTACCACTTTCCATCAGGTGGGCCGTCAGCTTGTTTGCCTTTTTCTAAGTTGTATAAAAAAAAAATTAAAAGATGTTATGTGGATTAAGTCTGCACTATGGCTTAGTATGTTCAAATAAATGATTACTATAATAGCTGTAAAATTCTGTACAGACATATTGTATATATCCTTTAACAATACTTCCAAAGCCTGAAAGATTGCTACAGAATGCGTAATTTCATTTTAATTTTTATAAAACGATACAAAATAACCGTGTTACAATTATGCATGAGAAAACGTGTTGTCAGTAATGGGATTGTTACTCTTCATTGCTAGTAATACCCTAGTAAAACCCTATCAGGCTGAACCCCTCGCGGTCCTTCTGGGAAAATGTCTTGGCAGGTAGGTACCTGGTGAATTCGCCACGAATGGGCCAACTGGCCTGATTATATTGTATTGCCAGCGAATATAAATAACTCAGGCGAGGTTACTATTTCATTTCCACTCTTAACTAAAATTATACACCTGAAGAATAATCTTACTATTTGCAATTTTTTCCATCTGTAAACCAATGGTAAGTTAGAGTATATTTATAATTTAAATTTATACACCGATTAGATGACATTATTAGAAACAACTATATTTAATTTATCTGTTTTTATTTGCAAATTATTTGTATATACTAGCAATATCACGCAGCTTTACCCACGTGAATCAATTTATAAAGTACCTATCGTTTATGTTAGGATATAATCTATCCATGTACCATTATTCATTCATATGTGTCCAGTAGTTTTTTGCGTGAAAGAATAACAAACATTCATACATACATACATACTCACAAACTTTCACATTTATAAGAGTTTAGGATGATATAATTGTAACTGAAGGTTTTGCTACCTAGTTAATATCTATTATATTTGAAGCTTTGAATAACTACAGGCCATTGCATAATGTCTATTTCATACTAATTATTATCAAGATAAATATTGAATTAATTTAATTCATTCATTTAATTCGTCATCATACTTTCATTTACTTCTATCTACACCGACCTTTAATACGGTGCGCAGTTATTACGACGTTGGGTTAAGTATACACATTTGGATTGTCATATTTTGCCCGTTTTCGAACGTTAATAGAATAAAATTGTACCTATTTGAAACGGTATCCATTAATTGTAAGAAGTAAATAATAAAACGCTACATGAACAATTTAATGTCATTCCATTTGATTTTTTTTTTACTGATAAAAAACAATGCGCATTCATAGCCTATATTGCTGCATCCGCCTTTCAGTACGGTCAATTTAACAATCGAGTTTTATTGTAAATACTAGGTTAAGTATCTGTTTTCTAGGTTAATGCTTAGATGTATATATCTGAATGCACTGAGTACACTGTAAAAGGGACACTAAATCAGGCAACTATATTAATGATTATAATTCCAATTGGAATTTATAGTTACCATATTGTAGAGATTTATTAACCTACCATATTTACATATGAACATGTTTTCTTTTTCCACCTCACCTATGTAACCTATGTGTACTTAAAAGTAATTCATTACTCTATTCCAATTTGAAGGATAAGAAAGCAAGTATGATTGTTAATTAATATATATGGGGTGGGGGGAGGGATTGTTAGTAATATGGACTACTAGTCCTATTGCTAGCAATATACCCTCTAGCTAATTAGCTAGCTAGCAATTGACCTCCACGTAGTCTACCTGGAAACTACCGTACTGAATTCCAAGTGTACTTATCACGATGGGCTAACTGACCTGCTCTTTTATTTTCACTTATCATCCCTCACTGGTACCCCACCAGTGTATACCGTTAGCACAGGCGGGGTTACCATTCTATTATCATCCATTAAAAAAAATATATGGGGTACTTTATAAAAAGGAAATTAAAAGTGACAGGTGTATCTTGGTACTCGTATGTTGTTCATTTTTAACCAAAATCTCATAACAAGTTTCATCAAAATTTATCTTTGCACAATGAGTAAAACGAAAATACAAAATGTGTTGTGTATCTGCAGATAATTAATTTTGATGTTGATATGGAGGTTTTCTTATTCTGGGACAACAAACACCTAGATGTTTGTTAAAGAGAAAAAAAATAACCAAGACACGACGAAGTATTTAATTTTTCCCCTTTCATACATTCTTTTCTAAATTCGTCATAAAATTGTTGAGAGCACATTCATTTTTAATTATACATTATACTTAACAAAACCTCACATTTTCTGGCGTGATTAACTACTTTAATTTATCTGTACAATAATAATTACGAGACCTTTAATTATTACAATAGTATAGATAAGTATGTTTCTATTCGTAATGTCTACTGAAATCGTTGAATATACAGTTCGTATTACATAAACTACGAGAAGTGAAAAACTTCATCTGAAAAGCAATCAGCCTGTATATTGAGGAGCGACATGTAAACCAAACAATAAAAAGGTTAACTAAGTACTTGGCCAATATAATGATGTTAAATTTTAATTTAAATAAAATACGTATGAGAATTACTTTTGAAACTGCTTTTCAGATAAAGTTCATAAATTAAAACTGTTAGGATTTAATTTTTCGGTTATTATGTAACATGTAGATAATGATTGTCACATACGTCACAATCTCATATAAACTTAGTCATAGATTCGTCTAAGTCACAAGCACACGGCAGTATATACCTTGCTTTGTATAGAAATTCGGTCACCTAGACGAGGTCGCCATTTTGTACAAAAACATCTAATTATTCACTATAAAATTACAGGACAATACAGATTTAATGAATTAGATCCGAGTGAACTACTAAGTTTACAAGAAAACATTTATTACATAGATATAATATGATAAAATAGGGAAGATGAAGGTAGCTAAATAGTATGACGATGATAATCCTAAAACTGGGTTGAATCATGAAGATCTTAAAATAAAAGTAATCAAAATTTGTAATAATTTGTTGTACACAATGAACATACTTATAGTACACATTCCATTCGATGTAGACAAAGTATAATTATTTTTAAATTTCAGTTATGCTCGTGTAATCTATAAATAAATAATAAAATATTTAACTAAAACAAAAATAATAAAAAGTAATAAGAGAGGCTTAAGCGAACAGTACAATGAACCAATAGGGGACAATATTAATGCACTTGCCCATAATACCTTATTGATTATAACATCAACTTCAATATTTTAAAAATGCTATAACAGTAACTTAATGTATAATTCTACTGGAACCGAGTTAAAGCTTTGTCAGAAATCCATAATTTAAATAACAAAATTTACGAATTATGAGATAAGAAATTAAACAGTAATAAATATTTGATCATAGTGCGATTTCTGTTTCTGCTTATTTTGTAATTGTAAGAGATGTGATGTTGTTGGTAGCGAAAATACACTATGTACTTACATACAATGTATGCTACATAAAATCAATGTCACGTGGATACCATATTTACTATGATAGACATCTATAACTGCCACCAAAGCAACCCGAGTAATTCAACAATTTGGTAACGAAAATAAATGTTAACTGATTAAGACTAATCACCCGCTGAACAGCTTTACGAATACAACAATAAGCAGTCTCACAAAATATTTTACAAAATTTATTTCAATAAACTATCTAGAAACTATAATAAATGGGTGACGTCTTTAATATTCGTATTTCGTAGATACTTAAATAAACAAATACATCAGCACTATACTAGATATTATTAATATCAGGAATCATTATCTATTCATGTACTTAGTCTCGTTAAAATTACAGAACATTATTTCGTAATTAATACTATACACAAATCGACAACACAATAATTATCTTACTATGAGATTCTCTGGGACTGGAGCGCTCCTGGCGCTGGCTCAGCGTCCACTTTACCTACGAAACGGTATAGCGCGTACGACGTTCCTATATAGTCTATCCGGTAACAAACATTGGACGTAAATGAATCCTCTCGTAACTTTCAAACATTAAGTACGACCACTTTCACAAAGGTCCTATGGAACTTTCCTTCTCGGTTCATCTAATTTAGCTGGCTATACCGTGGTGAAGGGGATAAGTCCCAGAGAAAGGCGCGGGTCACTGATGGTGTTTAGCTGGTGCAGCATGGTGCAGCGCGACATGGTGTGGCGCGTGATGGTGCCCACCATGATGGTTATGGTTGTTCGCGTTTGAATTATTGTTGTTGTTCTGCGCCGCCTGCGCCGCTTGCCGCTGCGAATTCTTCTTGTTTTTCATTCGTCTATTCTGAAACCATATTTTTACTTGCCTCTCGGTTAGGTTCAAATTTCTCGCCAGCTCCCATCTCTTTTGTTTCGAGACATAAGCGTTGAAAAGGAACTCTTTCTCTAACTCGAGTGTCTGGAACTTCGAGTAGGGTTTACGTTTTTTACGGACAGTCACTTGACCAGTCCAGTCGAGGGGGTTTGAGGATCCGCATCCAACACCGACACCCACCGACATCGATAAGGAACCTGCGCAAATAAAAAAAAAAGATCAGTAGTTGCAAAAGATCATCGAATAAATCTAGATTCTAATCAACACATGCTCAGGTCCTCACAAACAGTTGATGTAATGTAACCGAATCGATTCAGTATCTATCCGTAAATATCCGTTGGCACGATTACACAGTGCTGTGATTCAAACAAGTATTTCCAGGAACGTCCGTGAGGATTTCACTGGGCATCGTCTATCAAACAAATCATTAGATTCGTTTAGGAAATGATAGTTTGTCTGGTATACCTCTGGCGTGGCTTTGTTCGTGGGCGTCCGGCATTCATCGTAACTGCAATATGCATACCAGTAGGCATAGTAACATACGTTATGCTGTAAACTAGCCATTTCCATGCAGTGTTCATAAAAACATTTGGAATCGAACGTACGCCGCGTTAGAAGTTTCACACACAGAGCGATTTATGTGAGCGGTCCTTTTGATGAGATCATCTTCAATAAACTTTGTATGCGACCGGGCGACCTTCTCGATATGCTATGCGTGCAGCACACTGCACCATTTCCTATTATACAAAACGGCACTTGCATGAATATTGCGAAATAGATGCCTCATTGTCTAGCGGATGAATGCGTGTGTCGTAAGCGAGACTTGCATCTCCAAAGGAACCGACTAACATACATACACGACGACTTATGTCAGCATTAATCATTTTTAATGCAAACTCGGTGCTTTAAATGATTTATTTTAGAAAGGAGTGTATTTACCTTTTTATGAGTTATTACTTGCTTAGTTGGGAAATGTATTTCTTGTATGTACAACAAATATTATCAGCACTGTAGAGACCATGGGCTCGTAGGCCCAGATGCAAAGAATTTTTATCGAACGATCGCATCGCGCCTCATCGAGGTTACTGAGGACCCGCGAGCTGGTAGCTCCTATACGCAAAAGATAAGTTTAGCAATCCAAAGTGGTAATGCTGCCAGTATCTTGGATACGCTGCCTCGGTGTGGTGTGTTGGGAGACTATTTATAATTAGATGTTAGTGTTATTATTTAAGAAATTGTATCATAATTTTAATTTATTGATGGACAAAACTAAATAATGATACTGTATAAATATATAGTACATTTAAAACTTTTATCAGCATATTTGATGTCATGTCAGTCTTATATAGCCCAGTTATTTCAATTCAATTAAAAATACAATCATTCTATTTTCTAATCTGATTCCTATCTCTATTCTATATCTGTTCTCTAGGTAGATTTCCTGATAAATTTATCAAAACAAAGCTAATTATTATCTTAAGAAGAATTTTCTTTATAACTTTCTGAAATCGGTATGCATAAGACGATATCTGAGTAATATAGACCGAAACATATTTGAAATATTTGAGACTCAATTCTGTTTATCCCAAAATCAATGCGATATACAAGAACTATGAATACTATTACTACTTACTATTGATAGTTGTCTCACATTTATTCTTTTTGATAAGACGTCTTTATATATAGAAGTTAATTCCTCTATAAAAATTTTAATTGTCCTGTGTTTACATTTCACTCGTATAGTTTGTGACAGTCCGTTTTCGTCTGCATTAAAGAAGTGCCTATGGCGAGCTTCATAAAACTGCCCTACCGCAACTTGCCTACGCTAATAGTATTTTTGTATGCAACTCGAATATTGAAAAAATGACATAGACCCACGGAATGAACTAATGCATGGGTAAATAAAAAATGAAACGAAAAAATAAAATCTAAGATCATGTTATGCGATTATGTTTGTAAAACTAAGTAGGGTATTGATATTAAAATTATTTGCAACATCATTATCAGGATTGGTAATAATTAGTAGTTTAATTAGGAAGTTGTCAAATTAGATCATACTATTTTATATATTAATATTTAAGTAATTGGTAAAGTATGAGTATGTAACTTATAATACATAAATATCGTTGAATAACGATAGAAATGAGAAAAATGCAAGAACAGAAAATATCAGAACCAGTCCTCAATATACCTACATATCGCTTCTAGGTTTGTGAAAATGATTCCTCGAAAGAATCGGCAATTGTTTAAAGAGAACATAATGACAAGTCCAGTTGTCAATTATGAGGGGATAGGTAGCGATCATTGGTCATAAAAGTGCGGGTTCTTCGCCCATAAAACTTTACCTACTCGACCGCGGGTATTGTCTACGTCGTCGTCAACATTATTTTGCAGACCGATAAGCAACGGCCAATCGTAACAGAAAGGAATAAGGTCCAAAATCACGTGAAAAAGAAATTTAAACAACGAAACCTTTTCCTGTGTCAATTGCAAATCAGCTAAGATTGAATGAAATTTTAAATATCTGTTCATACCACAGGCAATATGAAATTTAAGTTTACCAGATTGATTATAAATACGAATAAATAACTGATGGTTCAAACAAAAATGATGACTGAAGCACGGCACAACTAACCGATCGTGCTACGGGCCTGTTCCACCAAGCGTTTACTAAACCGTAAATGCACAAATCAAAGTCAATGTCAACCTCAGGTGGGCCATAAACACACAATCATAAAGTGACGTGAACACTCGTATAACTTTTTCAACAATTGTTTCCTTTTAATGGGCCATTATATGCGCGTTTTACGCAAAATTATGTCAAGTTACACCTCTGCCGTAACAGAGGTACGATAAACCCATCTTTATGGTTAGCCGGCGATCGAAAGTGAACTAGCGACGAGCGTTTATGAATGGAGCCTTTTTATTGCTCTCATATTGACATGGCGGTTGTAGTTTCGTAATTACTACTTACTAGCGCGATTTGGGGAAGAAACCAGTACTATTGCATGTGAGTGACGTCGTCGCGGTTTTATGAATCATAAAAGTGATATGTATCTACGACAAGCCATAGAATGAATCGCTCCGGTTCACTCCGTGGCACTCTGTTGCCGTAACGCAGACTCCTGTCAAGTTTTTTATCGTCTCATCAGTCTATAATGTGTTTATTGTAGCAATATTTGGTTTATTGCTACTACTCAAAGATCAGTTTATTGTCTTAACGCTCAGGTATCGTGTTTATTTATTAGTTATACATTTTTATTGGCGCTTTATTTTACGTAAACTTTAATTTATTGTCGGTTGTAGAACGCCGTTTTACATAGCCTATAAAAAGGTGCTTACGGTTCGTTTTTAAACATTTGTAGCACGTGTTTCATTCATTCATCAAATTTATGGTGGTTTGTGGGAAAATGTTTTGATTTGGGTGTTCGATCACTTTCTGAACAAGGATTAGAGTCTTTGTGCGGACGTTATGCTAACATTTGTTAGTCTTATGGGCGATTTTATCGACTGTTTCGTACTCCGTTGTACGAAACAGAGTTTTAATATTTTGATCATATGATGAACAATAAAGTAGACGACAGAAAATAGATTAATTACTCATTTAGGTACCTATACAATGAATAGTGATAATTTATCAAGGAAATTTACTCATGGTTATTTATTAGTTTCATATCAATTATCATTTTTCACCCGTTAAAATGCATTGCATAAGTATTTTTTTTTACATGTCGACTTACAATATTTTCAATTTGTATATTTTTTTACAAGTAATATATTAAATTTCTCGAATCTATAAATTTATCTGCGATACAAAAATAATTTGACACAATTCAATACAAATTATTTTAGTAGATAAACGAAATTAAATCTACAGATAAAATAATGATGCTATATGTGAAAACGTGCCAATTAAACGCATTCAGACTTTCAGCGAAAATATGCAGTCAAATAACGCAGAAGAGTGCATCAGGTGCCGATGTGATAGCGACACCCTCGCACCAACACAAGCATGGTTCTTAGTGTGCGTGCACCGCACCGCACACATTTACAAAACTCGTTTTCTGTGTGCTGCCGGCCGCCCAACGCCATCTAGTGATAAGAAGACCACAACTAGCAGGGTCAAGGCTGGTAAACTTGTAATAAATTATTTACAATTCAACTTATCTTCGTTTAGTTTGTCATTAGTAAGCTTAAATTTTTGTATTTAAACTTAAAACCAACAGATGAATATTCCCTGAACGTGGCTGCAAAACACTTAGCTTGGCAAGTACAAAATTATCTAGATACATTGTATTTGTTTATGAATTCAGGAAATGTTTTGCTCGACCGAGTGTTTGATTCTAGAGCACACGATAAGTTCAGCTAAAAATTACAAACAGAAAGTGTACAGACCGGACGTTGCAAAATTTAATAAGTGCCACATTCTGAGAATGGTCATAAATATCTGAGTAAATTACTGTTACTGACCGGGTAAAGATCCTGGTGGTGGATAAGGCGCGCTGGACACTGTCTCTGGCGCGTAATTTCGTAGACCATAGGCATCGTGGGAGAAACCAGACGCCTCGGAAACAGCCGTTCGTCGTTCTTCACCACTGACGTACGGCAAGGGCTGGTCACCTCTTGGCGCCCCATATGGGTAATTCCAACAAGGCTGCGAGAAGCCCTGATGACATCCACCATCTGCATAGGGCTTATATTCGCCGCTACTCGTAGGCCAGAAGGGCAGCGTTGACTTGCGCTCCCTTTCCACTGGTAAATTATAATAGGTAGGTCCGGTGGGGTATTGCTCGAAGGAGCCTGGCGCGTCAGGCGGGTAACCCCAAGGCTGCTGCGCGTGCCGTATAACACCCGGCTCCGGTTCATACCGCTTAGCCGGAATGTGAAGAGGTGGTTGTGGGGGATTGGAGCCAACAGAGGCCGGTGAGGCACTCGATGCTGAGGGTGGCGCAGCAGCTGGAGCGGCCGGTGGGGAACCCCCGGGTGGCGACGCGTGCGCTTCCTCATACAGCGCGCCGCCGACCCCGTTCATCATGGTCCACCAGGCCGGTCCGGCGGAGTGGCCGGATGCGGGCGCTGGCGACGCGGCAGCCGCGTCGCAGGGCGCGCCGAGGCCCCCGACATGGTTGTCAGGGTACAGGGTGGCGGCCGGGCAAGCCACGGGGGAGCAGGAACGTCACCAGCCGGTTCACGCGCGCCGCGGGCACATCGCACCGCGCACACACGCGTCCCACACACAGCAGCGGCACATGAAAATTAAAACGCGATTCCCGATTTAGCTAGCCGACCGGACGGGAGTAGACCGCAACTATAACTGTTCAAAAAGTACAGATGAGTTAGATCTACTTTTGGAATTTATTCCAAATTTAGCAGAGTATCAGTCTAATAGTCACTGATATGATAAGGAGTCTCGTAACCTCAACAAAAATGTTCAATTTATTTTAAAACTGTCTCTATTTTAACGAAAAAAACTATTATAAAAGATGCACAGAGTCCTTTGATATGGTTCTGTTAAGGAAAATATTATTTTCCGTGACGCAACAGTTTTCTTATTTTTGTAGATCGTTTGGCTAACGTTGCGATGTTGTCGCGAGCGTATCGTGTTTATAGCGTAGAGAGAGGAATACGCGAAGCGCGCAATCAGCGGCGCGGTCGAGCGCGGAGTGGCGGTGGCGACGTGTGGTAGCAGCGCACACAGGCGCGCGCCTTCAGAGCCCCATCTAGTGGCGGGCGGCGGAACCCGCGCACTCTCGAGACCGACTCGCATCGGCCCATAGGCGGGCGGCTGCTGCGCCCAAAGCGATCGCCAACGTTCTATTTATTTTAGTTAGCATCTATTCGAGATTTTCTTTATGAAATTTAAATATTAAAAGTACCATTCAGCAATTATTTAAATTAGATAATAAACATGTAATACGGTGTATTGATCCCAAACTTTATTGCAATTTAATAATTTTAAAATACTATCAATTATAAACATTGTATCTGTAATAAAATCTATTTAACTACTTGAATACTATATTTTCAACTAAGCTAAAACAAATTATTATTATTTATAATAAAATTAAAAAAATATAAATAAATAATAAATATTAAGCATAAATAGAAATTACAAGATGACAATTGCTCTATACATATAGCTATTCAGATTACTTAAAAGCTGTTATCTAACTAAGATATATCAAAGGACCTAACGTCGCAAGGGTTGTCGAAAGCTTGCGGCGCGGGTGCGTAGTAAAGCGATTAATGGAGGCAAAATAGCCATAAACTGCCGTTTAACCAAACTGCAAGCGTCATTCGGCCATCGCCGACTTGCCACCAATAAAAAACGCGAGACTTTATGACGGCAACTCACTCACATTTTATTGTGAGTATAAACTTAATTTTATCGTCTGTTAATTTCACCACAAATAATGCTAGGTACTAGATTAAATTATATAATTTTATTTTATTGCCATTGTCAATGGCAAGGCCGCGGACTAATTCCATACATTTTTGTTATATCGCGCTTAGAATTCGTGAATTGATTTCCATTTATCTATTTATTTCAATGAAAATTTTTATGAGTTTCGTATTACTTAATTACATGTTACCGCAGTAGGGCTATGTAAACTTTCATTGGTGAATATGACACACATTCTGAGTAACAGTAGTGAAAAACAGCAAGGCATCTCACAAGGGTACATACGGGTCACCCTTCCTTTCATACACTCACCGGCACAAAGCGAACAATAAGTCGTACAACCAATAAATTTGCTTACAACATTTCACACCTATACACACGTTGTTTACACAAGACACGGCTATAAAACATATCAAGTGAACAAAAGAAAAACATACATAATATTGTAAGTAACGCAATCAGTTGTAGTCATGTTCATTCCTATTATGTTAATAGCGACCGAATTGTCAAAATAAAATACGCGATCCAGCGATAATTTCCCACACTATTCAGGTAATTATTGTACATCAATGGGTGTAATACCATCAAAAGATTCGTGGAGCGTAATAAAATAAATTTATCATAGTTATGGACGTGTCAACAAAACTAATATCTTGGATTATGTTAACGAATAAAGAACTCATTTCGCACGCAGAAATTTTAATTTTAAATTACCTTGCGTGTAACTATATTATATTACATATAGCTTATGAAATAAAATATGCTTTTTACACCGATAAGCTACATTGTAATATGGATATTACCTACGTGTAGAATAGGAATTAATATACCGGTAAATTTATAATTTATTTTGAAATACAGTAAAACCTTTTTGCCTTCAGACAGTAAAATGTGATCGAACAAACATGATTAAAGTAATTTTCCTTTTATATAGTATGTTTCAAATTTAACAGTTTATTGAATTGAATTTAGCGGAAGTAAGTAATGAGTAAAATATAAAAAAAAAATTGTAGTAATTAAAAGGTAAAAAGTTGTATAGTCAAAATAAAGTACCTAGCCTGATTTCTATTATTTTTAAAGTTTATGTATCATTATTTTCTCAAGCAACAAAAGATTAAGGTGTATATTTCTCTGTCTATATAAAACATATACTGAAAGTATCAAAATGGAGTGATATAATGGACGAGAATCAGGCGCATTGGCGCGTTGAATGACAGAAACAAACATAGGAACAAGTGTGCGCCTGAGTTGGCTATAAATATTTACGTTAGGAAACTTCGAGCCGTCGGTCCGTCATACTGTTGGGGCGCACGTAAATAAAAGTATACTTTCTTATCTCAACCATGTGTGCGGTTGGTTGTTGCGCAAACGATTCCAATTTGGTCTTCTACTTGTACTCGTATGTAGAAAGAAAAACATTACAAATAGGAGATAGCCACGTTTTACAAATTGAGGTGCGTAAACCGTTGTATCGAAATAAATTTCATTTTCCTAACTAAATATCTACTGGATAGATATTGAGCATCTATACTACTTTACTATATAACTTTGTGTAAATTTATTTATATGTTCTTTTAATAATTAGGAACTTTTATTATTTCATTGGAGTGGAAAAGTAGAACTAAAAGTACTAAATATGGTCTTTTAAGACATATTAAGCAATTTTCATCATTTACATTACTTTCAAAGTAAGCATAATTATTATCTCTTGATTAAATATATTAATATGTTTATGTTTAAGTTATTAAATGTAAATTTGCAACTAGAAATTCATCGTGAGATATGATTTAATTACAGATTTTATGGTCGTAACGATAATAAATTTAATATAAAATTAAGTTGTATGGATGAATTAACTTCATTAAATGCATGTAACCGTTAAATTATCGAATTTATTACTACAGATTATTAAAAGGATTTACTTAAACAGATCGAAAACTCGTTGCATCTGAATTTCCGCTAAATGCCGGCTTTCTCTTAAGTACGCTAAATAAATTGTATACACTTTACGGGTATAATCTGGATTCTGAACTCGATACTGGTTATAAATAATTATACATAAATGGTTATATCGATCCACAGAAGAGATTAAAACTGGATTAAGCGAGGTTAAGAGACTGCGCTTGAATTATATTTCGACATCCAATTAAATTATAGAGCTGATCTTATTTTTTTTTTTTAATAAATACTTTTATAAGCTAAATGACTTATAGATGAATTAGGTACAGTCATAATCATCATCATATCAGCTATTATTTGTCCATTGCTCGATACAGGACATCCCCATAAGAAAGGTTTTACTAGAGAGTGGTTGCCATGCTTAGCAGGCGGGTTGGCAACCGCAAGTAGGCTTTGGTGATGTTTTAAGAGGAACGCTACTGCTGGACAATTAAGCTCCCTAAGTCGCCTCTTACGACTCCCACGGGGTAGTCTATTCTATACCGTGACCAAATGGCAATCATGATAATGATAGATATATTTATGATAAATGTACCAACATATAAAAGTTACGATTTCATTCGTTATTGTATGCCTAATAAAATTCTATTTCAAAGTAAGTTGAAAGAATTGCTAATTAGGTATCACTTTTAAGTGTAAATAGTCGTAAAAAATGGTGTAATTATAGCTAGTACCTACTAAATATATTAAAAAAAAAAATATATATCCGCAGGTGTATATTTTTATGTTATCTTTATCTAATACTGGTTTAGGTGTAGATATTAGAAATTAATAACAGCCATAATGTCTTCATCCTCTATAATACCGGTGATAAATTATGGTAAAAATATACAATTTTAACCATAGACGTAGTATGACGAAGGTACTCACATATTTTAATAAACTGTTTATAGAGTCAAGTTGATAATTCCTATAGATTTCGGAATTGATAATTCCATTTACATATGAAACAAGAAGTTTTTTTTTTATTTAGAATAATTAACTTGTATCGAAAAGTTATTTTTAAATTTTGTAGATATTAAACTTGTTCACTAATAGGTATTTTTTGTCATTTTTTATATTTCTACCGTTGGGTTTAAAATATCTTCTGGGACTAATCAATTTCAAGAAATGTGACACTTACTCTAATTATTTTCCTACTCTTATTAAATATATCATAATTAATCTAGAAATTTGGTCAGATAAATTCAATGACTGTCATGCTTCTACGTCAACTAGTATATTAAATTACAATAATACATCTTTATACATATTATATATTTATCCTCTGTATATAAGTAATAAAATTATATATTTTCTAGTATATAAATTTATTATTTTAAATAAAATTATATTCACCTTGTCGTAAGCTTGCGAGCGACGTCTGCGTAAAAGGGCACGGCAACCTGCGAACAATTATATTCCTTTATAATATAACATATAACATACCTAATATACGGCTATAGCTTACAATAGGGGACATAATTACATGCGGCGGGTCAGGTGTGTCCAATCAGTAAGTTGTAAAAACGTTATTGGAGTGCGCGCTTTATTAACATGGTTTCACATGTTAATTAATACGTTAATAGCGGACCTACGCGGTGGCTGCTTATATTATTATGTACGTTTGATATGTTGGCTGTAAATTTTTTCATAGTTAGTAATTATTTAATTAGATTTAATAGTTGTGTTGTCTTTTGAGTCATAACCGTTGTAATATTTTATGTTTTTTTTTCTAAATAACTTCTAAAAATGGCACTGAATTGGAAATTAATTTTCTGGTATTTCTTTTTTTTTTACATATGTTACGCAAAACCTTCACAAATTTAAACTTCTTTTTTTTATACCACTAAAGTGGTAAACAAGCATACGGCCCACCCGATGATAAGCCGTTACCGTATCCTATGAACGCCTGCAATACCAGGGGTATTACGCGCGCGTTGCCGACTCTGAAGAAACCTCTTTACCGCTCTTTTGAGGAACTATAGTCAAATTGACTATTGAAATCGCTATTTTTTTAGGAACATTATTTGAAACTCTTTTTTATTTACTTACAACACATCAACATAAGAAGTATATTTTAGCCAGTAAAAATATTTGAAAATAGCTTATAAATATATTGATAAATATATAGGAAATATTGCGAATATTTAATTTCCACTACTTATTATGTTAATTTTTAAATTAAATATAGGCGGCCATGTTTATACAGCAATAGGAACTACCTTATACTATATGTATTTTTACAGCAATGTCTTTCTTATTTTAAATTTATTAATTAATAGTTAATTTACATATTATATTTAGACATTATACATATTTTTGGTAATCTCAAATGCTTATTTTTAGAATAAATAGTGGTTAAGAATAACTATTAATAGATAAACACCAAAATTGTAACGCAATGTTTCAGAATAATGACGTGACTAACAAGCCACTGGAACTCGTCTTAAATCATTGCTGAACATTAAACGTCCCAGGCGATCATTACTCAGTTTATTTTTAAGACGAAGAGAGTCTGGCACACCCACAATCATCTCATTGACAAAGTTCTACAGTTACCATTTTATTTCCTAGCTCGAGCCTCGATACGAATATAAATAAATCCTTTCTAAGTCATTCGATACGGCGGAAAGTCACGAAGTTTACATAAAATAGGTGATTTGCGCCGAATGCCATGGTTTTTTTTACAGGGTGTAGCCGGGGGTGCGACGTTCCATCCACCTACTTCGGAGAGCGAAAAAAAAACATGTTTACAAGGCTTTTTTCTTGTTAACGATTGCTGGCTGGCATGGGTACGTGTTTCGGGATCGTAAATTCTGTTTTGTGTTACATAACAATTATAATGCGCTTCAGTAATGATTGATTTTGAACTGTTCTCGTTTAAAAAAAAGTGTTTGACCTGTAGTTTTTTTATAATGTTAGAGCCATTTTCCCTTCATATAATTATTAGAGTGTTGTATTTAATTTGTTAAATAATATTTAAGAAAATGAATTCAAAATTAATTTTAGATTACCGCTACTATTATGAATTTATTAGTTCAAGATGTTATTTATTTGAGAAAGATAATTTCTTTATTTCACTACACTCTCAAACCTATACGTGTGGGTAGGTACCTATTTAATTAGGGATTAGGAGCTAAGACCATCTATCCGTTAAACTTGAGCCATAGCTCAAAACTTGTACGGTTTTCATCTAAGTTTAATTCCATTCTAACTCGAAACTTCTATCAAGAATCGTAAGCCGGATGAACTTTAGTGAACTACCTATGTTTTTTTTTTCATCAAGCACAAGTAAATGGAGCACAGAACCGATGGCTGAGGGCACTCGACTTGACATTTACGACTCAATTCCAAAGCAGAGGCCGCCGTCCAAACGGGTGTGTTTTCCACCGGTTTAATTAGGCCTCCCGCTCTCCCCCACTCAACCCTCCATAATCAAATCGAAGCCAACTATTAACACAAGTTTGGAGGCCTCGTTAAATTTGTCGGTATGTTATTTAGAGCGTAGTGACAGCAGAGTTCGGGCACATTATAACAAGCTGTCAAGTTGCGTTATCTTGGACACAAGTACGTGTTACAAGAATGTCTCTCCCACGGTTGGATGCCCAGAAATTTAAATAATAAATATATCACATCATATATACACATGGCCTACCTTAATTTAATTAATAAATTTGTAACATAGTTATTAAAATTATGTTTATTAACATTTTAAACAAGGAAATGTTAACGTTGAGCTTCAGTGAGTGTGAAGCATTACAAATAAAATATAATATAACCTGTCATCCAATTAGAAAGAATGTAATTAATCAAAACACAAATCTCTACTTACATACAAGTTATTTCTAAATATTTGTATATAATATGTAGATCTACCAAGAGAAACACTTAAGATACGCTATGACAATAGGTACTCCGTAATAACTTAATTAAATTTTTACTATGTGGGATGGGCACCTAATAGTATTAAACACTATAGTCATTGCTCGTGAATTCACACACGAAATCCCGTAGTCTCCTATTGTTCTCGTGAAAATTTCAGGAATAGATCCACTTAGTACTCGCCTTCATCATTATAAGCAAATTATGTGCAAAATTTCATTATTTTAATTAGTGCTACATAGAATGTAAAGTTGCATTTTAATCATATCTCTTATCACACTTTATTAATTTGGCAATTTTACTGAACTTAACTAATAAAGTAGGTAATATAGAACTGAGAACTAAAAGAGATTTTTTTGAATCGATGTTCATCCAATAATAGTAATTGATATTCTTTCATAATCGAATATTTTGTTGAAAGTGTTACACTTTTATTCGATAGCACTAGTAACTGGTTTCTAGTATATACCTAAATATTGAAAGAATAATTGTCGTCTTCAATACATACCTACCTTAACTCTATGAATCACTTATTATATTACGCACATAACAAACAAACAAGCCATAGGAAATGTTATTTGTATAGTATAACGACATATTTACAATAACAGGGAGTGGGAGGCGGTCCGAGAGGTTAATGGCGCGAAAACTGACTGGATCATATCCCGGGGTTTACGACACGAGAGTAAACGGCCGATTCATTTGCAATTCTAACTGCGATTTAGCGACGTATCGCCTGCGATTGTGCGGCGACTATATCGTCACTAGATTTCTACATCTGTATCTACATCTAGATTTCTTACGTAGCTATCCACTACGTACTTCATCTATAAGAAAATATGGAGTATTATTAGAAATATAGTTCTTATCGAGAGCGATATAGAGCTCAAAACGTTCAATATTTGTGTCCTATTCTTATTTGTAATAAAATTGGGGTTTTGTATAATAGAATAAGTACTAGCTTTATTCAGGGGATTTTCTTCCATAAAGTAGATTAAAAAATACAATGTTTTGTATTAAGGGTATGGTCAATCTCTATATGTACCAAAAAACCCATTTAATCGTTTAAGCGTGATTTAATAACAAATATCCAAACTCCTTTAAAAATAACACTAGCTATATCCCACGGCTATTAGATTAAAAGATATTCTAGGAGGGGTATAGCATGTACCAAATATCATTCTAAACCGATCAGCCGTTTAAGCGTGATTGAGTAATACAATAAATACAAACATTAAAACTCGAATAATATTAGTAAAATATAAAAAAATAGAAAGTGATCCATAAACTAATTTAAACTTCGTGATTTTAACCGTCCTTGTAACTTATATAAATAATGAAAAAATACTGACTTATTATCATAATTGGTAGACGCGTGTAAATTACTCATTTCCAAATATACCTACTTACTCTATGTGGTCAAGTCACACATTCTAAGTTCACCTATTTAGACATCGATCACCCAGTGGTCCCACTTAGTATTCGATCCAGTCCTCATAGGCCGATGTTATCGACAAGGACACTTATTGTGATTCGTAAGGCCCGGAATTGATCGACCGAATGATACAGAACGATCGTGGATTGAAATGTCCACGGAATTTCTATGATTCGTTTGCGTGAAAACCTTGCATGAACGTTACAACTTTACTGTTGGTAATAATGTTGTAAATATTCTTTGTCTTCTTCATTTTGTAATAGTTGGTAAAGACTGAGGAAAGTGATTTAATTCTTGTCCTCAAATAGTCCACAACATTTATTTACTTTTTTCTTTTTGTTTTAAGAAAATAAAATACAGAACGAAGACTTTTAGCGTGATATATGACAGTGAAATTACAGAATATATCTATAGGAATGGCAAGGTAAACGGGGTACCATAGGTGTTATCCTTTGATAATAATGTATCGTCTATAGACACAACAGCATCATTTTTGTAGATGATGGTTCATCATCATCACATCAGCTGTCTGACACTACTGAACTTAGTAATCCCACATAAATTGGGGAGTTTTGCCAATAGTTGCCATACTTGACAGACAGGTTGGCAACCGCTGTTTGGCTAAGTTGATGTTTCGAAAGCTGCTGTTTTGAATTCTTTGATCCTTAAGTTTCTTCTTAGTGACTTCTTACGACATCCACGGGAAGACGACATTCATTTGAAATTTTGATTAGTTCTTGTAATTATTCAATTAATTGAATCTATCAATAGGTTTCCTTTGGGTAATTTGGTTTACAATTTATACCATAAACCATAAATATATACACTTATTTACAGACCATTATTACTTTAAAAGGTGTTGTATTATACAATAAAATATCCAAGTTCATATGGAGGATTTCTCTTTGTTACCAAAAAAAAAAAACGTGATAAGTAAATATAAATCAAGTAGTGTGATAAAAATATAAAAGTCGAAAAATCGAGATAGAAAAATCCATGTCTTGTTTTAAAGACGAACTTGTACTTACTAGAGCCTCGATTTATTTATATCCATAAGATAGCTAATGTCTATTAAAATTAATCCATCTACCTAAATCTGTAGTCTATATTTAGATAGATAAATACTAGTTTACTTAAAATATATATAGATATAAATATATACAGATATGTAAATTAAAAAATTTTGAAATTATCCTATTTATATGTACATATAAAATTTTATATAATAAGTGGTAAATTCATTTTACCACTTATTATATACATAAATTCCATATATTAATAAAGTACTTACATATATATGATGATTGTATTTACATCCTACTTACTACAATATGAACTCATAATTATCAATTTAGTTAGTTAGAATCCGTAAGGTATAATTGTATAAGTTGCTGCTAGTTTATCTAGAACTTATATACATAAAATAATATTTATTAATACGTATTTGTACATAATCGCCATAGTTGTCATCTATTTGCTAAAACACAAAATCTGCCTATCAAATTAATATGCTATAGAAATTTAGAATATCACTTTAGTTTTAAGTATCTGTTAAAATAAAGTTAGCGTAAAGTCATAAAACTGAGATATTCATAATAATAATAATTTTTACAACAGTTGTAGTAACTATTAACTTATAAAGTAGTTGTCTATAGATTTTGCATAGATTATTACCCTACATTAGATGAATGCTCGATGTGGGGTTCACTTTACAATGGTCATATATACTAAACTAGAAAATTCTAAAATAACTTGAACTCTGCTTATGTTACACTCTACACTTTTTATACTAATATAGTCTATATTAAGTTAATTTTGAGAATACAGAAATAGTAAATTTCTTTTTAACACCAACCCGACTTCAAAAAGGAAAATAATGTCAATTCGACTACTTTTTTTTTTATGTAGTAGATATGTAATACGATAACTTCGGCAATTAGTCTTCAATTTATTGTACTATTCTGTAGGTATGTCAATACTGGAATTAATATCTTTTTTAAATTACATATTTTATTTATTAAATACGGTCAGTTTTTAAATTCTACAACGTAAATATTCTGTGTCTGGTATTTGATAAATATTGTAATTAATATATAAAAATATGTAATATATATTTTTACTTTTGGTGTCGTATGTGTATCTTGCGGAAGTCCATATCATTGGTTATTTGTGTACAAACAAAATAATTTAAAAATTAATATAAATATATTTATTAAACAAAATAATTCTAATAAAATAATCAATTATTATTTTATTTTATTATTTATATTATTTTATTACATAATTGATTCACTATTTATTCACATAAAACTCTTTAAATCTTCCTCCCTTATGCGCACAGAGATGGAAATCTTTCCTATCGTCTATGTTTCCTGAAAATTACAATCTAAATCCTTTCAAAGCTAAAGTGAATAAGTTGTTTATTTGTTGATGTAAGGCTGTTTATAAGTCCGCAGCTCCATCTTATCTTATCGTTACTTATCATGAGGTAAAATTGAGGTCAACCGTGAGACCCTTATAGTAAAAAAAGAATAAAATCCCTTGATATCAACACCCACAATCTGCAATTCCTCGAAACATTTCGCCATCAGATTAAAACGTCGCAGGGAATATCACAATCACAACATTGTTGCAACTTTGTAAGAACGTTTATAATTTGCTGGGCTATAAATTAAGGCATTGAATTAATATGACAGGTCAGATAGGGTCCCGATATATGTAAGTCTGTAGGCACAGGTGTTTAACGGCGATTAGGGTGTATTAATACTTTTTTATGTTCCACCAATTTATGAAAGAAACATAAAAGAAGTGTGATGTATTGTTATTGCTTCACAAAAAAGTGACTGCAAACGTGTAAAATTAATAAATTAACTACGAGTATATCTCGTATTTGTCTCAATCTATCTCCATTTACGAAACCACCTGCAATTGTATAATAATATCCCTGTAACATAAAAGTACACGCTTCATTTTAATCTCATACCATCCTAGTGCTATTTATATAAATCAAATAAAGTATTTAAATGTAGTTCAATTTAAACCAATAACTACGTCAAATATTTTGAAAAATTTCAATAGTGCAATCATAGTGTAAGGGAAAAAAATTGTATTTTATACGTACTGTAGTATAATATTGATTTATTTACTGTATTTATTATCAATATTGTATTATTTTTTTTATTTTTGCAGTCCAAAGCACAATTTAAACAGATACGAGTGTACAAACAATAAAAATGTAAATGAGTACGTGGGCGATTGCACGCCGGTATTCAGGCACGTTTTGTCGTGAATGCACATATTATGCAGCTTCGTATCATGCCTACGGCCCTCGACACTGAAGGTTGGCGAGTAATACTTTGTAAGCTATCTTTTTTATATTATTTTACCTACAAATGTTAAGTTTATTTTATATCAAGTGGAATGTAAAAATGTACATTAAATGGTAAGGAAAATTAAAGTGTACTTAATACAATTTATATTAGGTACCTTATCTATTAAATAAAATTATTTTTTTTAAATTGTGTATGTAGATAGAGTGAGATTTAAATCATTAAGCTTTTTTAAGAACTCCAATGAATTTATATAGGTAATAATAAATATAGGTTAAATATGTTGAAATATTTTGGATCTCATTACCTACTAACACGGCGCATTCGTCTGTCAAGTATAAAAGCTCGAAATTATATAGTGTTTTTTTTATTTATTTATATATGAAATATATATAGGAAATTTTTTTATTTATATTTATAAAACACTCTCCTAAATTATAATAGAAGTAAGAAAACCGTTATACTCAAGCTATTACAATGACTATTTCTGACGTCAGCCCTTTTACTTATTTTTAACAAAAGTATAATAAAAACGAAAGTAAATAATTTGTGCTCAGTAACAAAGGCGGGTGAACCTAGCGTGACTATAGGTGGTACAAATAAATTTGAAATTAAAAGTAATAAAATAAAGTTCAAATTCAAACCTTAGTATCATGTTCTGTGTGGCGTCGCCGCCTCACCTGTTAGTAAGGTCGACCGCGAGTTGAGCCGCGCTCGAACCTTACCCGCAACTCGCCTGTAACAATACAATACATTAATGTTATACATCTTACAGTTCCTCTAAAAAAATGCACTCAATAGTGTATTCCAGTAGTACCACGCAAAAATTATTGCAATAGATTAGGTGTGGCCTTTCTGAAGACTTAAAGTGTGGTGAAAAGAATTATCTATTTCTAAAATCTACGCATATGAAATTGTGGGCTAAAACACTAGTCATAGTACCTATATAAAATCCGAAGTCACGATTTTCGTTCACGCTAATCTCCAAACTGCTCAACCGATTTTTAAGAATAGTTTCCATCCCGATTAGAAAAAATGGTACCTGTAGATGGCGATTGGTGACAAAACAAGCTTTTCCTATTTAGTTAGTATTTACTAAAAATCTAGGTACAGGCACAGTATGAACAATCAATAGTAGTATAATAATAATAATAAATTACTTGCGAGTTACTGTTATTCAAAATAAAAAAAAAATAGGCAAAAAATCTTAAATGGAAAATTTTAACTTAATTTTGAATAAATTTCGCCTCGACGTTAAATTTCTTTTCAGTCATAGTACTAAATTAAAAAAAACAAATACCTTACATTATCTTATATTTCATAGGCTTTTTAAGGTAAATTTTACCCACTAAAATAATAGTAAAGTTTATTTTTACTAATAGTAGTTAAAATTATTGGCTAAATAAACTTGTAAGCAATAGATGTAGATAGGTTGTATTTTAAAAATTTTATATTGTAAATTATATTGTTAGGATAGGTACTTATTAAAAATATGTTATATAACTTGTCTTAAAAAGTAAATAAGCAGTATATCCGCAATGCCCGCATGATTTGTTATGTAAGCAAAGCCACAGTAATATATTATCAAGTCACATTTAAAACATTTTAGACAAGTAAATTAAGTAGTATTAACAAATTAAGTAGGTACGTAACGTACTCGCTACTCCATGAGCATACACAATAGAAATGTACAACTAGCATAAAAGAATTTAACAAAACAAAAAAGATATTTAATTTTAACGAACTTATTTTAATCGTATTTCAATGAACGGGATATCCTTCATTTAGTATTAAATAAAAAAAATCCCGTTCAGTTATAAAATAAATGAGAGCAAGAAATATGGCGGAACAATAACGGTACAGTTACATCCCTACAGGTATCGTTGATATTTTCAACACTTTTTTTATTCAAGAGGTGATGTAATAAAAAAAAAGTAATAAAAAGTACAATTTAACCGTTTCGAAGGTTCCATTAGTAACGACCTCTTTTGTGGTGAACTTTGTCGAAGCATAAAATCAATTCGAATCGATATATAATTTTTAAGATGTAATGTTTATAAAAAAGACAATATGCGCATTCATCGACGCCTACATTTTACCCACATTGTAATATAAGTGCATAAATTGCCACAATAAATTAAGTAAACACATTTTTAGTATTTAACTACGCAATAAAATAAAACAAACCATCCTTTTTCTCACTGTTATGGTATCCTTGTAGGCACATGTTATGTAAGTAGGTACTTGTTAATTTTATGTATGTATATACATATTTTTATTCTTTCACGCTGTATGTGAGTACTTTGAGCACAAAATAAAAGGTTTTTAAAATACATAAGTAATTAAAATTTTGTTTCACAAAAAAAAAACCAAATTCAATTGTGTCATAACCGGTTATTTTTAATTAAAAACTAAACTACTAAACCGATTTTGAAAAATTTTCTATGAGGTCTATTTGTAAGTACATCCTTTCACATAAAAAAAAAGAATTTTCCAAATCAGCTTACAAGTGACGGAGTTATGAGGTAACAATCAAAAAAAAAAACTCAACCGAATTGAGAACCTCCTTCTTTTTGAAGTTGATTAAAAAAAATACTCTGTTACACACACTAGCTTGTTTACTTCGTATATGTCAATTTATTTCAATTACTATATACGTACTACTCCGCAGCTTTCATAAAGTTCAAATACTTAGAAATCAACGTCACTTCCTTTAGAGTTATAAGTGCTTTAAAAGTTCGGTAGATACCTACCAATACTTAACCATACTTAGATTAGTAGTACCCAACACACGTAGATACATAACAAAATATAAGTATTTTATTACCATCACAAAATAGTTGATGCTCAATTCGCATACAAAATGTCTTAATTAACGTTGTAAATTAGCTGAGTTGACATTCGAAAATATTCCACAGACATAGATGTCGGCGACTTATTACAAAAAGTAAAATAATATCATTTCATTAATATTAAGCTATCAAAAGGAAAAATAACTTCATTTTATCAGTATTATGTTCCGATTAAAACTAAATGTAGCCTTTATTTTTTATTACTTGTATTATAATTTTGTAAATAAATATTTTATAATAAAATTCCACGCGCCTTTTGTAGATTAGAATTATTTATACTAGTTCAATCCTGTTAAAAAAAATTGCAAATAATTCTTGCAGTAATATAATATTACAATTTTATTTACCCATAAACATAAGCTAAAAATTTTAAATTAATAATTCTTTTTAAATAAAATATAGGTTATGTTACTCGTTGATAATGTAGCTCTCAATAGCTAAAAGAATTTTTAAAATCGGTTAAGTAACTTTTAAGTTTATTTATTACAAACAACAATTCATAAAATCAAATATTTATTATTTATAATATTAGATTAGATATTTAGACAAGTAAAATCAATAATTTCAGACGCATTTAGGTACGCTAAAAATTTCCTACGAATGTAAATTCTTCCATTTTTTCTTTTCCGCTATCACTCCTCTCGAAGACTCCATTAGCTTCTTGAAATAAGCACGTGCCCCCACAGAGAAAGCTCTAGAAATCTTAGCAATAAATGCCCACAAGCGCGAAATTTATTTTTATCGTTTGTACCACTTAAGGAATAAGATTGAAAACTTCTCCCAATATTCCCCAGTAATTTGTCGTATTTTTTTCTCCGGGGTCATAAAATATTTACGTTGTTCGAATGAATTCATGAGTGGATTTGTGAGCGTCCTCGTTTACCGCCCCGATATTAATTCGTTTTCATGAATAAAGAATATTCGAGTCTTTGTTAAATGAATATTTACATAAGACAGATTGGATATATATTTTTGTTGTAGATTTTGCTACACGTGTACTGCTGAATTGTACTTACACAAATATATATGTAGAAAAGTTCAAAATACCTAACATTTTTTATTACATCTGCACAGTTTTGTTCGCTTAGCCCATTATCTTCTATTTCCATAGGAATGTCAAGAACCCTTTCTTTGTGAAAGCTTAAGTATATTTTGTGAATAATTCTGCATAGGAATTATTATAAATACATATTTTAATCGTTTAGTGGAAAGTCACTTTTATATACGTAAGTATTTATGCAGCTTTAGGTACACCTACTTATCTGAATGCAAATACACACTAACTTTATTACTCTACTTGCATACAAAACTTGCAACCATAAGGCGACAAATGAATTTTATAAGTGGTGATATCCACTTTATTAGGGCGGTTACCTTTTTGCATAACAACCTGCGTATACATTGGGATATATTTATGCAAAAAAAAAACAAGTCCATTGCACTCGTGTGTTTCTAAGAAGTATGCAAGTATGCAACAATATCAGTAATCTTTCTGTCCAGTCGTTATACGGCGGATGCAACGATGCACTCAGAGATATGACTGTCTCGAATCCACATAACACCATCTACATAACTTGCAGCGCTGTAATGAGACAGGTACAGCCTTGTATAAAGTGGTTTCATATGCTATAAGTACATATCTCTTGTTCATAATAACTACCTACCTCTACTAACATGATATTTACATGTTTCCCTTACACATTTCTACCGTGGAGAAGCCATGTTTGTAGTATTGTATTTCAGTACGAATCGTATATGTAGTGGCATCTCTAACTGATACAAATAGCTTGCAGTCCAAGATATCACTGTATCTACTGTGACATCTTGATAACAATATCAATAGATTAGTCTATACTGATATTATAAAGAGGGAAAATTTGATTGTTTGTAATAAACTCAGAAAGTACTTAATCGATTTTAAAAATTCTTTCAACTATAGAAAGCTACTTATCAGCAAGTAACATAGATTGTATGTAATTTTCGAAAATCTTGTATACGCGTGCGAAGCCGGGCGAAACGCTAGTAATCAATATTATTAGAAAAATACATATTTACTTATATCTTTATTCTACTACGAACTGAATTATTTTAAATCAATGTAATACATAATTCAGATAATCATAACTTCAAATTATTGAAAGTAAAATAAATACAAATAACCTGCTTCATCGCCAGATTGTAAGTATAAAAAAATACCTATTTTAATGTTGTTAGGTATGTAGTTGCGCAAAATACTTGTAACGCCTCCTTCATTGTGTCGAATAGAAGAATTCAAATTGAGACAAACTATTCAGATAACGCGCGTAACGTGTTCGTGACACGAAGAAAACAATTACGTACGAAAATAACTTTAGGTAAGTTTAACGTCTGTATTTCAAGTTAAAAGCCATGTTAGTGACATCTTTAGTTGTTTAAAGAATGTGCACACTGGCGTGATGAGAATGGGGCTTCTAGGATAAATATATGAAACTAATTCTAAAGTTGGAGTCTTTTGAAAATTTATCTCAAGTCACGCCACTCTTTCGCCGTAAAAGTTGTGAGATCTCATGTGCCAAGGCTGGAATTCTAATGATATTTCTAGTAGAAAATTGAATGGTCTGCTACTATAATACGAGTAGTCCGGCATGATATTTATAAGAGGACTTAGAGAATTGTCATACTTTGGATGATTCAAATATATATGTACAGTAAAGTGATTAAATAATTCATTTATTATTTTGCTACATAACATTTTTTTATTAGACAATACGTTCGCGTTTGGTCTCACCTAATTCGGAAGTAACATGTTTTTGGAGAAGAGAAGAAACTCAGAATGTTTTTATTTTTATACTACATATACTATACGGCCCGTATGATGATAAACAGTGTTTGTAGTCTATGGACG